GGAGGAGGAGGAGGAGGAGGAGGAGGAGGGAAAGTGGTGGATTTGTTTATTTTTGTGGTGGGAGGTGGTAAGTGGAGTGAAGGAGGAGAGGGGGGGGACAACAAGCAGAGGAGAGGGAGATTAATTAGTGTAGTTTAGTAGTTTACCTAGTTTGTGGTTGGGCCTGGACGGTGGACGGTGAACTGCAATGGAATGAGTGAGTGAGTGAGTGGATGGGGCGGGCAACTGATGATGCACGCACGAGGGTCCGTCCGGGCGGTGGAGATGGCGGTCTGCTTGCCAGCCAAGCATAACACTAATGATTGCATGTTTCCATTGTTCGAAGGTTGTTTACCCACTCCACTTAGTCCACCGTCATCATCACCATCACCGGTTATCATCCCTCACCCTCATGCCTTACAAGGGACCTGCAGAGCTGAGAGACTTCATCAGGTCCCCTCGTCCCCTAATCAAACATCTCCAACGCACCATCATGTATCCATGATCCTTCCTCCCCTCCAACCCTCACCAGATAGACCAACCCGGCCCCGTGTCCCCGTTTCACCCTTCCTTATCACCACCACCACCACCACCCACCCACCTAAATGGCCCACTGGCGGGAAGAATACTCCGCCGCACTGGCATCTCGCGACCGCCGCGAGAAAGCCAACACCGCACTATACGATGCCTGTATGCTTATCCCACTCCCATGTCCCCAAAGTAGATTTCTTAAACACCTTAAACCACCCAAACCACCCATACAACAGTAGCCCCCCCTCAAACAAATCTAACCCGGACAAAAAAGACACAAAACTCGCCGACCGAACCGCCTCCGCCACCACCACCACCATTACCAGCCTCCAGAGCTCCTCCGTTACAGCAGCGGGCGCAAGTCCGCGCGCTCCCAGCAAAAAACACCACCCCCAACTAGCCGGGGGCGTACCTGCCCCCAATCCCCCATCCGGGACAGCACCAGCACCAGCACCACCCCCTGAAACGCAAACCCTCCTCGCCGACCTGGCCGAGGCGCAACGCTCCCGGGCCGAGCTGCAGGCCCAGCTCGCCCGGGCGACGGCGGAGCTCGAGCGCCTGCGCAAGCGCAGCGCGCAGGACGGGCGGCGGCTCCGCGCGTTCGAGCAGGAGGTCGCGCAGCTGCAGATGCGGTTGAAGGATCGGGAGGAGGAGTTGAGGGGGAAGGCGAAGTTGTTGGAGGTATGTTTCTTCACTCACTCACTCATTCACTTGGTTTGCTTGGGTTACTTTAGAGAAGGTTGGGGGATAATGTTGAGCTGAATGCCTGGCTGACTGACCGTTGGGCTGGACTACAGGATTTCCAAGATGAGATGGCGTCGCTGAATCTCCAGCTCAATATGGCCGAGGAGCGATCCGCCCGGTTCCAGCAGGAAAACCAAGATTTGGTGGATCGCTGGATGGCCAAGGTGGGCCAGGAGGCGGATGCCATGAATGCGAATTCCAGGTTCTCGTAGAATGGCTTCGCCCTAGGTATGAAGAAGAGACACATTACAGGACGGAGGTTTTTCTTCTTCCACGTCAGAAGATCTTTTTTTTTTGGCTTCTCTTATCATTTCCCCCCAACCCAAGCATCGAGCTGGGTGGATTCCTTTATGATATGTGTCAGAGCTTTCTATGCACAATGATACCCATGAACTAGTTATTCACAGTAGCAGTTGGTTCAGAGAGACAAATCCAGGCTCACAATAACCCAAGGACCCAAACGGGACCAAGAGCGGAAACTGACGATGAATGCAAAGAGCAATGCGCTGGTTTAGTATAGATGCCGGTCCGAAGAGAGAAAAGGTGGTATCATGCCTGGAGCCCCCGGGTATTCCTCCCAAAATCGAACCCAGGGTCACTCGAGGACAAATGAAAACTATGTAAAGAAAAAAGAAAAAAGGACATATATATCACGTGTGTCCAGGGAGCCATCGATACAAGAAAGAATATGGATCATCGCGGTCGTTACCCAAGAGTGGCCGTGACAATCATGCACCCGTTTGTTGCAGCTGGACCAAGAATCCTTCACCCTTGGCTTTCAACAAAGGCCTTCAGCTGGGAACTATCCTTCCTGGCGATAAAATATGTGCCGCCAACATCGGTCCAGCTGACGCTGTTGGACCAGTAATTTCGTTGTTTGACTGTGAGCAGGTTGATGGGCGAATTGAGGTTGCGGGCTTGAATCTTGTGGCCCGCCGGGACAAACGACTTGAGTGACACAATCTGACAGCCCTCTTTCATGTCCAGGAAATGGTTGATCAGCTCGTTGTTCAGCTGTGGGGTGAACGCCTGGTTATTGATCAGGACGACGTCCGCCCGCTTCAGAACATCGACGATGCTCTGCTGCTTCAAGAAGTCGCCGCGGATCAGATGCGTCTTCCCCGGGGCAATGCCCCATAGCCGACACCTCGCGCGGAACTCCGCTTGTTGGAGTTCGGCGAGCTCACACGCATTCTGCATCATCTCGCAGCCCCAACTCTCGCAGCCAATCTCCAGCGCTGCCTGCAAAACCACATTGCCCACGCCGGAGCCTAGATCCACAAAGACCTGCCCGGACTTCAAGCCCGTCTCCTTGAAGATGGTGCTAATAAATCGAGGAAGCAGCTCCCCATAAACGTTGTCCGTCCCGTTCTCATACTGCCGCAGGGACTCGACCCGAGGCGAGACGGTCCGCGAGTATATCTGGTTCAAGATTCTCTCCACCAGCGGCAAATTGAGACGGCCCATCGAATCGAGTTTCTTGGCGATGCTCCCGTTGCGCCTCAGTCGTGTGATGGCATGGTTGTAGTCGGCCACCGTTTCCCGGAACTGCGCTTCGGACGATTGCGCCAGGGCCCGCCGGAGTCGGCGCTTGATCCCATTCGTCTCATCATCAAACTCGTCCACCTCATCTTCCGGGACAAAATTCTGAGCCACAATCTCGATGACTTGAACGATATCGTCGATGGGTTTGAAATCGTCGTTGTCGCGGGGAACAACAAGGTTATATCTACATGCGAAGAAAATGTTAGCCGACGTTCAGACGAAACGCAAAACATGGGACGAAAGCAGAAAATCCGAGAAAAACAACCCAAGATGAGAAAGAAGTCCTCGCACCTTTCCTTCGGGGAGTTGCTCGGATACTGCAAGGAGATCTCCGGCAACGGCTTCGACGCTCCAAACGCCGGCTTGAAATTCCCCTCCTTCTGGGCCGAGGTGATCTCCGCGGCGTGGATCATGGGAAGCCGTCTGGGACCACCACCACTGCTGCTGTGGTCCTCGACGAAAGCCTTCAGTGAGCGCACGCGCCGGTGAGGGTCCGGCTCCGCGCTGTCGCCCGTCCGGGCCCGTTTACGGACCTCGAAGGACGATGTATCGGAGTCGCTGCTGGCGTCATCGTCGCTGGAGAGGCGCAATTCCGGGGTTTGACGCTTGCGATTCCCTAGGCCGGGGGTGCCGTGCCGGCGCTTCGAGGAGGAGGAAGGAAGTTCGTTGCGATCCCGTGAGACGGACCGACTGGCAGACGCCTCTCGAGTTTTGAGCTGGACGGATGGCGTCCGCGGTGCGGGATTGTGTCCGGGCGTATGCGAGGGTGAGCGGGAGGTAGGAGGAGCGGCTCGGGTCTGGACGACTTTGCGAATCTGAGGCTTCTTGGGCTGCAGTGAGAAGGCCCCTCCTTTTTGGAGGTGGTCGAAAAATCCCATGAGGGTTGGAGGGGCAGGAGGAGGAGGCGGCGGGCGGGCGGGTCGCAAGTCGCACTTTTTTGTATGATATGATGCAAGAAATACGGTGAATGCAAGAATTGACTATACAAGTGTGAAAGGGGGGCAGAAAAAGACAACCTATGATACGAGGTACAACATATGTACGGGGGACCTTTTCCCCAAGAAAACAAAAAAACAAGGAACAGGAGTAAAGAGTGTATGTAAGTAACTGATTTGAAGAATAATATGCAGCACGTAAGGTTGCCGTACAAACAAAGCGGGTTGACGGCGGGCGGCGGGCGGCGGGTGGGCGGCGAAGAGGGAAAGAGAAGGAGGGAAGGGAATTAAAAAAACCCGCGGAGCCGATTAACTCCAGTGCTTGAAAACGATATCCAGAAACGGTGGGCGGTGATGAGGACTCGAGGGACGAGGGAAGAGGGAAGAGGAAAGTAGCATCGAGGATTTGAGGGTCGAGGGTCGAGTCCGCCAAGACCCCGTCCGATGCCAGTTGCCGCCCGCCACTTCGGATCCGATCCTCTCAGCTGCGCCCTTGCCTTAGCGTGACAGAAGACTGAGCGACTAGTTAGTCTAGTCTGCATCTCTGCATCTCTGCATCTCTGCAGATGGCATGGGTTTCCGTTTCACCTCACCTTTTAAGCAAACAAGACAAGGTGGATGTTGTTTATCAATATGAGTACATCCAACTGAGCAGTAACACAGGCAAAACAACTGCACAACAGCAGGTATCGTGAATTTTGAGTGAGGGTATTTACAACAATCCAGACTGCGAACAACCATCCTTTTGTGCACCATTACACAATCCCTCGGCGCTTCTATTTCTGCTTCTTCTTCGCAACCCGCTTTTGCGCCCGGATATCCTTCTTCATACGAGAATCCACGATCTTGTACCGACCCTTGACACCCTTGGGACGGCCCGAGATACCCCGGTTGGCACCCTTGGCCACCACCAGCTTCACTTGCGTCTTGGGCTTCTTCTTCGTGGCACGCGCCATCAACTTCGCAATCGATTGCGCCTTGTCTCTCTCACTCAGAGCCTCGTCATCCGCCAACAAGGCGGACTTCTTGCGCAACTTCTCCAATCTCTGCGCAGCCTTGAACTTCTTACGGCCCTTGGCCTCCATCACCTTCTTGATCGGGCGAGCGTTGATAGCACGCCACTTCTCTTTGATGGCGGCAGCTGCCGCCTTGGTGATGGGCCGGTTCGGGGCACTGTGCTTGCCCTCATCGTCCAGGAACCACTCCGGCAGACCATCGACATCCCGGAAGGCGTAGCGGTTGAACCCGTCGTCAACCACGTCATTCTGTTTCTTTTCACCCGTAGCCATCTGTTGCGCCAGAGCCATGGCCTCTGCGGTGATGATATCGATGTCTAGTAGTGTAAACGTTAGTATCCATACCCTTAACCGACGATAACTATGAGGTTGTAGACTTACCAAGCTGTCCATTGGCCTTTCGCGGGTCCTCGAGCTGAACAGGCTCCTCATCCTCAGAGTCTTCAGCCTTCTTCTTCGAGTTCTTGGCCTGCTTGGTCTTGCGACGGTTGTCAACCTCAACAGCACTGTCCTCGTCAGAATCCCCTTCAGAGTCCTCCACCTCAGAGTCTTCTTCGTCCTCCTCCTCCTCATCGTCTTCTTCCTCCTCTTCCTCGTCCTCCACATCATCGATATCCTCGAGACCTTCGAACATGTCCTGGTCGAAGAATAGTGCGGCGTGGTTGGAAAGCGATCCGGACTTCGGGGCTTGCACGCCATTTACCGCAGCATTAGTCTCCTCTTCTTCATCGTCGCTATCTTCCTTGTTCTCGTCCGAAAAGCCATCCCACTCGTCAGCCTCGTAGCCCTTTCTAGCTTTCTTGGCCCGCAATTTAGTGTCCTTATCCTCCTTGCGCTCCTGGTACCGCTCATACAAAGTGTCCAGTTCGCGCTCAAGGCGGTCACCCTCTTCGTCGCTCTCCTCGATATCGGAATCGTCGTCACTGTCTTCACTGTCGCTTTCGATCGTAGCCTCCTTGCCAGCTGCAATGACATCACGGGCATTATTCCGATCAACGGGCTTGATGGAAAAGGTAGCATCGTCGCCGCCGGGTCCCAGCTGTTCCATACCGATATCCATGGGCGTCGTCATGTGCATCTGCATACGGACAATTTCCTTGCGCTTCTTCTCGTTCTCCTTGCGTCTTTCCCTCTTCATCTTGGAGGTTTCCTTCTCGCGGAGCCGGAGCAGTTCTTCCTGGATAGCCAGTTCCTCATCCATGGGGGCGATCTCCGCCACCTCTTCGGCTTCCTCGCCCTTCTGTTGCTGTCCCTTCTTCGTGACGAGGCCGAACTTCTCCCGGACCTTGAGACGCCATTTGAGCAAGTTGCGGAATTCCTTCTTACCCAGGACCTTCAAATCATCACAGCATTTGCGGATCTCGTCTGTGGTCTCCTCGAGTCGATCCAAGGTGGCGAGCGCGAGATCCCCACCGGGGGTTTGTGTGAAGCTGAGCTTGTTGTATGAACCGAGAATGGCGATCGGATCGGTGGTGTTGATGAATTCCGAGACCGAGCACTCCTTGAACTGTGTGTAGTCGCCCTCTTCGTAACCTTCTCTCTTTCTCTTCTTCTTCTCCGGGTTGAAGACCTTGGCCTCGTTGTTGGGGGTCGGGTCCGCGAGTTCGGCGAAGACGTGCTTGGGGTCGAGGAACTTGGGGTCCAGGTGCTTGGGGGCCTTGTAGCCGCGGCAGACGACGAAAATTTCGGCCGACACGTTTCGGGAAGACGGGGGTTTCGTAGCCTCGACCGAGGTGAAGAGCTGCTTGAACACCCACAGCAGGGGGTTGTAGTCCTTCGATCTGAAAACCTTGGTCACGAATGTACCGCCCTCGGCCAAGAACTCGGTCGCCAGCTTCATGGACTGCAGCACCAGCTCGGACTGGGAGAAGGCATCCTGCGCCCACGCCGTACCGACGTTGGGGGCACCGTCGTGAAGAACCGTATCCGCCTTCCAGTGCTTCAGGTGCTGTCGAAGTGTGGCGCGACACTTGTCGGTCGTGATGTCGGCTTGGAACGAGATCACACGGGGGATAGGCTTGATGGGAGCAAGATCGACACCGACGATGATACTCTGGGCGGGCATGCATTCTGCAGCGACTTGACACCAACCCTATTGAGGAGATGGTCAGATTCAAGGCCTCATAGGAAGCAGATCGAGAGATTTCCGTAGGGCGATGCACTTACACCGGGCGCCGCGCAAAGATCGATGAGGACTTTGCTCTTCTGCAAGAAACCATACTTCTTATTGAGCTGGACCAGCTTGAACGCAGATCTAGCTCTGTATCCCTTTTCCTTCGCAAGGCGATACCACTTATCCAAACGACCTTTACCGTGCTGGTTGTTGTCAGTACAAATTGCTTCACTGGAGACTCGGCGGGATTCCACAATACCTTCTTTTGAATCGCCATTGTGAAAAGCGGGTGGTCGAGAGATACTCGACGTCAAGACCCGGATCGGCGAAATAAAAAGAAAGAGGTGGTAAAGAGAGAGAAAGAGAAGGGTTGGTTGGAGTAACCGGGCGGGCGGCTTGCTTTCTCTCTATGGCACGGGAAAAAAAAGTTATCGGGCGGGCTTGAATGGATCGAGTCAGTCAGCCAGTCAGCCAGGCCTTTCAGGTTCTCCACAATCCGCCCCGAAACAATGAAAAATTTCCCCTTTCTGGACTTTGGGTGTGGCGGTGCGGGACTGAGCCACACGTGAGTTGCGGTTTGCTGCGTTTGTCCTTTTTAGTGTGCCTGAGGACGCAACAAAGAAACGGTCAGGCCAGCAGCATGTGACGTGATATCACCGTATTCTATACCTTTACTGTACGGAGGGAAGGAGGAGTCGCAGGCCAATCGCCCCTCGGCCTTGAGAACAACTTGACCCCCAACCAAATCACTTCTCATCCTCAACCTTCCCCCTTCCAGCAGGTATCACTTGTCGCTACTAGTATAGTAGTATACTGGTCTTAATCTGCTAGGTCTTTCGTCATTCATACTTATCTACAGTACCAAGGCCTCTTGCCCACCCTTTCCCAATAACAAGGCTTCTTTATGCTTCGATCCCCACCCACCCCCTACTACCACTAACCCGCAATATATCGATCTCATACACCCTCCCACCCCCCCCGTCTTTGGTGATGCCACTGTTAAACTTCCATGCCATCCATGGGATCTCGTAAGAGAGTAAAGCCCAGCCCGCCAGGCGCGGACGCCCGTTCGACTACCTCCTCAAATGACAGCGCGGTCTCCGGTTCCACCGCCAAACAACGTGCTCGTGCGCAAAAGAGAGGAAGCGGTGTGGTGAGTCTCGGATTTTCCATAGCGTTGCCGTAACAACTATGGGGCCCATGGCTGGTGTAGCTGATATCCGCGTTCCTCCTAGACACAGAGCTGGTACCCAACTGCCTGGCCGGCCGTTTCCAGAGCATCCAAAGCCGCCCCGGTTACCGAGGTTGCCCGTGAGAGCATTTCCGCCGCCCAGAACATCTCCCCAACACTCCCACGACTCACCTCCTCGTCGACCTCCCAACTGAATGTGGTCCCCAGGCAGTCTCGCCATCCATCGCTCCAGTTGACCCGAAAGGATACTGCATCTAGCCGCTCCCTCCCCGCCAGCGCGACAACGACCATAGTTAATATAGCTTCAGATGGTACTGCGTCGACTCCGGCAGACGACGCCCGATCAGATCGTACTACAGTGGCAGCGAATCCAGTCGAGGAGGTTGCACCCAGCGATAGAGGTTCAACTGTGGCGGAGGACACGCGCAACGGACCGTCAAATACAACCCCTGCGACAGCAGTCGCGGGCGACAGTGCTACTGGTGTAGACTCCGGCGCCCAGTCTGGCTCCCAAGCAGGCGGATGGTTTTCGTGGCTCTATGGATCATCGACAGCTGATAGATCTGGCCCACAAGACCAAATGGCGAGGCCAGACGAGGAGCCACCAGCGGAAACACAAGACAACAAAGAGGAAGAAAGGACGATAGAAGACCAAAATTCAACAGTAGCAGAAACAGAAGCAGACCAGGAGCAGCCCGCCGAGATATCCGAGGTCTCTGGGACAGCCCAGAAGCGGTCTTGGCTTCAGATGTGGTATGGCTCGTCCGCCTCAAAGTCTCCGGAAAATACACCCATCGAACCCTCCAGTGGAACCGATACACCCACATCTTCTGTCCCGCATGCAGCACCTGCACCGAGCCAAGAGAATGAGATGCAAGGGGAGGTAGATGGCCCAGTCAAACCACTAGATCCAAACACAAAAGCTTCCGGGTGGAGCTTCTGGTTCAGAGATGCTTCGAAGGATTCCGAACCCGGCAAGTCGCAAGATGCTCAGGTAGTCGAAGCCTCCGTGGTTCAAGAGCCTCCGAAGAAATCTGCTATGGGACCTGAGCCTCAGACCGAGCCTAGGGTGGAGGTGGTCAAGAAAGGAAGTGCCAAGTCTAAGGCTTCTAAGAGTACCTCTAATCTTCTTGACAAAGCCACCGCACGAGCCGAAGCAGATGTCAGCGCCCCAACTCAAGGGCCGTCTGAGACTGTAGCAACAAAACAACTCCAGAAGGTCCTACCAAACCAGGTGCTTCCGCGGTTCGAGGACACATTTGCCTTGGAAGAGAAGCCGGGCATATTCCAGACGATAGGGCGCTACTTGCACTATAACAAGCAACCGGACAATAAGCATGTTTACATGGTTCGGGATCCGCCGCATATCAAAAAGGCACTCGCCATAGGTGTACACGGGTATTTTCCGGCTCCTCTGATACGGAGTGTTCTCGGACAGCCAACCGGAACATCGGTCAGGTTTTCAACAATGGCTGCCGAAGCAATACACAAGTGGGCAGAGGACTTTGGCTACAAATGCGACGTAGGCAAAATTGCCTTGGAAGGCGAGGGCCGTATAGCCGAGCGCGTGGAACTGTTATGGAAGCTGCTACTGAACTGGATGGAGGAGATCCGAACGTCGGACTTCATTCTGATTGCATGCCACAGCCAGGGCGTGCCGGTCGCAATCATGCTCGTTGCCAAGTTAATATCCTTTGGCTGCATCAATGCATCCCGTGTTGGGATATGCGCCATGGCGGGCGTCAATTTGGGCCCGTTCACCGACTACAGATCACGATGGATCAGTGGTTCGGCGGGCGAGCTCTTTGAATTTGCCCTGCCCTACAGTCAGGTTTCGAGAGATTATGAAGCGGCATTGCGCACATGCTTGGATTTTGGGGTGCGAATATCGTACATTGGCAGCATTGACGATCAGTTGGTTTCCTTAGAGGTATGCAACCTTCTTATGTTGTTCAATGCTCCACCTATTGACGAGTCCATTTACGCTTTAGTCCTCACTCTTCACCCCCGTGACCCATCCGTATATCTACCGCGCAGCCTTTGTCGACGGCAGGGTCCACGCTCCGAGCTTGTATGTCACCACCTGCTGTCCCTCGATCTCATGATCAACTTCAGTATACACTGACCACTCTCAGTCTCTCACACCTAGTCGGCTTCGTCCTGAAACTCCGCAACCTCGGCATCGCAGACCACGGCCTCATCCGCGAACTCAGCTCCCCATTAGCCGGCAGTCTCTACACCGGGGAAGGCCACTCCCGCCTCTACGACGACCCCGCCGTCTACCGGTACGTTCTTCTCCCCCCGTTGAGCTGTCCCTTCCCCCTCCCAAACAACAAATAAAATAGGCAAACAACCGGACTAACCCGCGAGAAAAAAAACAAAATAGCCTCGCCATCCAATTCGCCCTCCAGACCACCGCCCTCCCCCTCACAACAACAGCCACCACCAGAACCCTCCTCGACATCAAGCGCACGCAACCCCCGTCCCCCGCAAACCCGTACATCCTCCCCTTCGCCATGCGCGGCCTCCTCGAGGAGGAGTACGTCCGCCGCGAGCTGACGACCGAAACCCTGGAACTGCTCCACCAGTTCGACGAATGGAAACCCTCCAGTAAGGTCCTGAAGGATGTGAAGTTCCGGTTGGAGGGGATCCGGTCGAAATTGTAGCCCCGCATTTTGCGTCTGTTGGCAAATAAGCGGGTGGGTTTGTGAATATAGAACTTTTTTTTCGCTTATAGCTTCGAAGAATTTTATTATATTTGCTTGAGGTGGGGTTCTTGTGGAACATTTCCTGGTTTCTTGCTTTTGGGATTGGGTTGTTTGGTTTGGTTTGGTGATGAATATGAGTATGGGTAATGGGTTATGGTAGGTGAGTAGTCTATCTACGAACACCCGAATATTTCTTGCAAGGTGGTTGGCTGTGCTTTACAACAACACAATCGTAAAACCAGCAACACACCTGGACGAAAGTCCTGGAGTTGTAGTTCATTTCCCAAAAGAACATACAAGGTAAAATAAATGGGTTGGTTGCTTGGATCAGGACCCAAATACTAACTAGGCCGGCCAGTCCACACATATATCCGGACTCGTTCTTAGTTAACGCCAGGGCATGCAGAATTCGGTTGCGTTGCTTTTGAGATTCTGGGAAAGAGAGAAAAGAAAATTCTACAGGTGGTATGCCGATAGATCTCATTAGGTTTGGAGTGAGAAGGGTGGATGTATGTATGTACGTACGAGTCGAGAGGAATTAAATGGGGGTTATGTGCTGAGGCTCTCTCTCTTCATGCTTGGATAAACGCCGTGTGGTATGCACCTTCGATTTCATCTGGGGAAGACAAATGTTAGCGGGACGGAAAAGAACTCGGGGCGGTGACAGGCGCTGTCATAGGGCGGGTGTGTGCGTACCTCTCATGCCGTCCAGCGCCTCGAAAGCAATCGCGTAATTGGTGGCCGCGGCGATGATCCGCTCCAAGCCCTGGCGGATCTCCTCGATGAGTCGGTCGGAGGGGCTGGTGCTCAGGTTGCTGCTGCTGCTGCTGCTGCTGCCGCCACCGCCGTAGTCCGGTGGGGTCATTTGTTTCTCGACGCGGGCCTTGTAGAAGATCATCAGCATGGCGTAGCTGCCCTGCATGAGACAGCAGGCGAACGAGGGCATGGTGCGGGGAAGTTGGCTCGGGAGCAGCTGCTGGAGGCCCTGGGAGGATTGTTGGCGATCGGCCGCGAGCAGCGGTTGCGGGATGGGGAGACAGTGGAACATCTGCGAGATCAGGAGGGAGGCCCGGAGACAGATTTTGGCCGAGTGTTGGCTGCTGTAGGGGAAGTCGTTGGTGAAGGAGTACTGGGGTGGTAAGGAGGAGAATTCGGACGAGGTCGAGGATGCGGAGGATGGGGTATATTCGGATGAAGATTGCTGGAACATGTCGAGACTGCTGCAGGAGCAACCAACCCGGGTGATGCCGTCTTGGGTCGCTGGGCTTTCGACGGTCTCAACTGGTATAGAGTTGGTGGCGGTGGCGGCTGCGGTTAGATCGCAGTGTTTTTTGATGAAAATGGGTATATCGGAGAATGCTCTGAAGCGGTGGATCTTGATTTGTGCGCTACAATGTTGCTCAGCACGGGCGTGAAACCTGGATGTGCGGGGTTTGACTCCTACCTTGACAGCTTGATGCGCGAGATCGCGCGTATACATTGAGCTGTTGTGGACTCCAAATCTCCCCGGCAAGGCATGGTCTGCGGAACTATGGGGAGTAGGTTTGACTGTGCTAATGCGGAGCTGGCCCATGAATCGAGTTGCTGCATTCTTTCAAAGATGTACTGCATGTTCGTTCTGGTTGAGACGCATTTGTTGAGGTCGACGACGAATTGGGTTGCCGATACGAGCACTTGCTGAGCTTGAATCAAGACGGACCAGCCCTGCAAAAAGAGTCAGAGATTGAAGTGCTACCAAGGAATTGGAACTCACATCGGGGTCGGCAGCGAAGCGTGGATACGGCGTGACGAATTGGGGATCGTTGGCGACGATGGAGAGCGGCTGAGAACCCGAGTGTTAGCCACTTCCTCGAAGGACATGCATAACGCTTCAATGGACTTACCGTGGCGCTGACAATGGAACCTTGGAGGACGCAATAGTACTATTGGGAGTCAGACAAATGCCATAGAACCAGGGTTCAGACTTCTCACCGTCATCCACCAAGCTCTTCTTCGAGCTTCAGAAAACTCATCGTAATCGTCGCTGAGTGAATGCAAAGACATATCCAAAGCTATGGACAAGGCTTGACCGGCACGGTACCGCATTTTCAGCAGGTTTCCCCGTTGAGTATATTCATAGACAGAAAGGACCAGAAGTGCCAAAATGCTCTCAAGCTCCACAGGTGCTTGAGGATGGAAAGGAGCTCGGTCAATGTGAGGTCGATCGGTGGACAGCGCCAGTGCAGGATCAGTGGTCGAGGCTTGCAGCTCGCAGTCGCTCTCGATACTCAAATTCGCCATCTGCGCAAACATCTGAGCATATGTTCGGCGGCGGACCACAGAGGCGGGACTAGACGATTCAATATCCTTCGGATGCGGCACTAAGGCTAATATAGCTGAAATTGCACAGCTGAGAGAAGATTGTGGCCGGTAGGGTATCACGGGTTCCTCTGAGGGTGACTCTGCGAATGAACCAACGCCGTCCAAAGGTCGATCCGGAACGCGAGGGGCGAATCTCGGCGGAAGTATAGGAAAATAATTATGAACAAACTCGTAGTAAGCATTCAAGCTGTTTTCGAAGTCAGAAGACGTGGTAAGCTCGTTTCGAGTGATGGTTACTCACATCTCTATTTCACTGCCATATGTTCTGACCAAAGACTGCGATGGGACATTCGATGGCGAGGGTGTTGGTTCCATCTGTACTGGAATACTGTTCTCACCATTAGGGACGAACAGATCTGTGAACATCGAGTGCACATCAGAAGGAAAATCCAAGCTTCTGAGCCCTGCTCCCGGAATTGACAGTACGTCAATCTGGCCGAACATCTCTGGCGCTGAATCGTCGTTAGCTGTGACGAGGAACTGGCGATCTTGGGTCAGCTTGCTTACAGTCATCATTGAACCCAGAGGATGGCGGGGTGATCATGGCGCTTTGCTCGTCATCGTGCTGAACAGCCTCGTCCGAAGGAATCGAGAGCTTCTTCTTTTTCCGTGGACCTCCTCGTTTACTGGGTAGGTAGGAGCACTTTCGCTTTTTGCTAAGACACTTTGCCACCCCGATCAAATCAGCATATAGTTCAGCAATACGCCGCGGTTGTTTAGGGAGCCATGGTGAAAGAATGAAGTCAGAGAGCAAGGAACAGTGTGTCTCCTGGAGATGAAGACTATGGACTGGAGCACTGCGACTTGGCGAGGGGAGGATACATACATTTGTGCAGGGGTCTTGCCCATCGCATCGCGTTCTCGAAGCACGACTGAGATAAATCATCAATCAGTCGCAATGAACGGCAAGACGAGATTCCAAGTCGCTTGCAACAAGAACCAAGCTCAGTGCTTGCACAAACGTTCCAGGTGGATGCGACGCCACTTACCACGCAAGACACGCTACTTTGACTGGGGGCTTTGCAAATTTCTTGCGGACAACCGCGGGCTTGGAAGTTCTAGGCTGTGTAACTGCCGTGACTCCATCATCTTGGTACGATGACTGGGAATCGTCCAGGGCCATGTTGGGCGTGAACTGGAGACACACAGCTGCAGCGGGTAGTAGTAAATGGTGGGAAGATCATGCAACGGCCGCAAGGCGTGCTACCATCACCCACGATCTAAATAGAGGTTCTCCCGGAGCGCATAACTCGAGGACTACTGGGGAGAATGAGACGGGAAACACGCAGAAATAAACATTCAGGAGCTTTCCGGGGTAGCCAGCCGAATCGGGGAGGTTGGGTGGGTAAATCGACAGATCCTAAGAGTGGTCTGATATACAGCATTATCGGGCGAACTGGGCTGTAGTTTGATTTGGTTTGGTTTGGTGAGTGAGTGAGCAGCGGCGGCGGGCTTACTCATCCTCGAGGTCCATAGATTCAAATCCCGAAGCGTGGGTGTTTCGGGATTTGCTTCCATTGACGGACGATCCCAGAAAGTGGCGCGCAGCAAGTGCGTGAAATTAGTCAACAAGGCGACAAAAAGTATCGTTGCTTTTCCCGAATCTGTACATTTCTAGCATAATTCGGAGAATTGAAGCACGACCTGTACTTCTTTCACTGATTTGGAGTGGAATTTGTGGATTGAAAGTCCTTTTTTTTTTTTTTCAAATATTTTTCTTTCATTCGATCGATCGACGGTACGTTAAGTTGGCATAAGCTCCTTCCTGTTCTGGCAAGCTGCATTGACTGGCAGTCTGGAATGACCAGTCTGATGTCACGTGAAGATCTGTTGTTCTCGCGCATTCAATCCGATCATTCTTGCGGGTCGGGTCGAGGCTCTGGAATGCGATGCGGTCTCTAGGCATGATTGAGGCGGAAGTTCGAAGTCTCACTTCTTGTCGCACAGCCACCTGCTAGAAAAGAGGCGATTACATGTTAACTGCCGGCCAATCTGCAATCCGATCGCAGCCAGTCTCCGCGAAAATCCCGAGGATTAGCCTTTGCCGGATTGGGGTGGTGGATCTAGACTCGGTCGATCGACATCAGGCACAATATTATAACAAAAGTACTGCAGCACAAGGACCTTATCAATCACAGAAGCTGCAAAGTCCCGCCGGCCGTCGCCACCCTCCTAGGAGGTGTTGTACATGTAAAGTGTCCGGTAGGTCCAGGCGTTGACTATCGAGTACTAAAGTTAGCCGGTTAGGTTAGAACGCAGTTTAGAACCAAAATTTATTGCACTATATAGCCAGGGCTGCGGCCAGATATTACTGGTCTAATGCAAGCTCCCCTATAGATCAGTTTCAGGACGGCGGCAGCGAATGTATCCTTATCCCTGATATCCGCTTGACGGAATACCAAACGCTGTCAGGGACCCGCACGGGGAGCTTGTGCCCCTTTAGCTGCTGGTCGATCAACCACATCCCCACCACAAACTCTTCGCGGGTCAAAAGACCATTCTTTTGACTATCAACCAGGTTCCAGATCTGCTCTAGGACATGCGATGGAAGCTCGCTGCGAGACCAGATGTCGCGAACCACAAGGTTAACCACCATCTCGGACGCGTCGGGAGGCAATGAGCCGGGTGGGACTTGCGAGGGCAAAGGAACCAGCAATCCTTTGTTTGCCGCCCAGACTCCTTCGTACTTCTTCCGGTCTTTCTCACTGACCTCACTCCGCCAACGCTTTCGGTCACCTTCATGGTGTTTGTGGGGGTGCTTGCGTATTATGTGTTTATGCTGGCGATACCCCTCTTCTTCATCCGAACTGCTGGGATGTCGAAGGGTCTGCCGTAGCACAGTAGAAGG